AAGATAGTTTGATTGTCAAAATATTCATCTTTGCCCAAAGTAATGCCTGCTGTAGCAGAATAACCCCGAAAGGGAGTTTCACCCTCCACTTCTAGTGATGGATACTTTCTTTTCGCCTCCGTATATTCGGAATGAGTCAGAGCCAAGAACTCGTAGAGAGACGCCCAATCGTCTCCTCTTTGCTTTTTCGAAGTTCGCGTTTACAGTTCCCCTTTTTTGATATTTATACCTTTTATTATACCCTTTTTTTGTTACTTTCTTTGTCTTTGGCTTGAGTCATTGTTATTCTATGTCGCAGACCTCTGATGACGCTCGCTTTTCGTGAATAAAATAAATTAAATTAATAACTCTGTGAAGAACTGAATTATCTAGTTATTGCATGATATTTAACTCGGTTTTTGCTTCTAGAACATGATGCAAAAAGGTGGAATGTTTGATGCATAATATGTATGTAGCGTCATGTCGAGAGTTCACATGATCGAGGAAAACTCCAAAAGTTGATTATATCATGTTCTCGCAAAAAAATTCGAGTAGGAAATGGTGTACTCAGGGCTGAAAAGAGAATCCAAAACTATTTCAGAACGAGAAGGAAATTATGTCTTACTTTCTTGTAGCAAGTGCTTGAATTCTCAGGCATATACGCATATTTTTAATTAGCAGTTAAAATAAAAAAAAACAGTTAATAAGTCATTATCTTTCATGTTGGCGCTATTTCTATGGTTCGCGCGCACTTATTTTTAATTAATACATTAAACAGATTAAGTTGAAGATTCATCGAAAATAAAATCCTATTATATAACACATGATCTGAAAACGGCACAAATAAAAATGCACATCGGAATGTTAGAAGACAGTTCAACGCTTTTGAGACTGCGGAGTGGATATGAAATATAATAGGAGGATGAAATTCTAATTAAATCTTAGAATAAACAAACAATGTATAACATTTACAGTCTAATAAAAGAGGAAAAAACAGAATAGACAAACGGACAGCGTCTGCCGTCAAGACAGTATGAAACTAAGACAGAACAAAACAGATCACGAGAATAAGCCAGGATAATAAATCAGCTGTGTTCCACTCTTAAGAAGAAACGGCTCTGTTCGAGGAACAAACATTTTTCTATCTTTAGTATGAGCAACAAAATAAAGTTCAAAGAAACACTGGACAGCACATTTTTATTATCAGTGCTAAAATACACGAGCACCTTCTCTTCATCATTAGAAAATTTTGTGCTTGCTCCGCGCTGAACCAAATTGGACAAAAATTGAGCGCCAAATGCAAAATTTGTCGGTGAATCCGACAGCGGGTTCCTTATAATTACATCTTCACTTCTTAATTAGCGTCGACATAATCAACTTGGTTTTTGCCTAAATTTTATTTTTCTCATTGGCGCCTTTTTTTTCAACCAATGAGAAAAATAAAATTTAGGCAAAAACCACGTTGATTATGTCGACGCTAATTAAGAAGTGAAGATGTAATTATAAGGAACCGCTGTCGGATTCACCGACAAATTTTGCATTTGGCGCCCAATTTTTATCCAGTTTGGTTCAGCGCGGAGCAAGCACCAAATTTTCTAATGCTATTGAGTAGTTGATAAGAAAAATCGGTATTTTCTTTTGTCACTTTATCTCAGTATATAACGGCATATTACGAGTTTTTGTGATATTTCGCACTAATCCACTTTATCCCTCTTTCTGCCGGCGTACATCGATACTATGTTTCACAGTGTGTACAGCTAGAAATTAACAGGTATGCATCGATCAAAATTTGGTATTTTCTCTAGGAAAGATTGATTGTCCCAATGGTTTCGATGAACAAGATTGCTTCGAATTAGAACTAAGCGAATGTGATTCAGATCGAGAATATCGTTGTTTAAGTGGTCATTGTATACCAAAAGAATTTTATATCGATCAATATCGTGATTGTCTAGATCATAGTGATGAATTATTTGAAC